AATCCTTATATTATAGAATCAACACATTAAGTCATGTGCAAGATTTTAACGTTCTAGCTTAAAGACTCTAGGAGATACAGTTTTATCCGATTTGCCACGCCCCCAATGGTCGTAGATATATCTTAAGTGAGCAATTCGGATCTGCATTCCAAATTTCAGCTTTCCAGCTCTTCAACTATTGTGATTTCTGGCATATCGGAAAATGTATTTTCGGATTTGCCACGCCCCTAATGGGCGAATCGGGGAAATTTTAACATCTTATGTTAAAAATATGTATATAAACACCGCTGAAGGTCTATCTTTTTTGCTAAAATTATTCTATGTTAGGTTCTATTAATTGTAACGGACATTCTTTCGTTTATGCTTTTTTTATTAGTCAAAGCGTGTGCTATGCTCATATGTGCAAAATGTTCAATGCTTGCAATTGAGAAACTAAATAGTGAAAACTATAGTGCGTGGTCAGTGCAGATGAAAAGTCTGTTGATTCATTCTGTCTTGTGATCGGTGACATGTGGTCGGTTATTGAAAAGGAGAACGATACAGTGGAACAGAAAGCGTCGTGCATGCCTTCGGGACCCGCGCGTAAAGTACAGTAGTTCAAGCAATTGTTGTATATTAAAATGTCAGCTACAAACAGTGTTTCTGAGCATTTGAATAATTTTTATCAAGCCATGGTATAAGAAGTAAGAAAACTCTAGTCGAGACTGCTCGACTAGGTGATACCCTGAGCCCTACAATCTGATATTCTAATCACTCTACACTTTCTTACGGCACACATACATATACTCTGTTAACTGCACAGTAAGCAGCGACTGCGCTTGGTCTGCGCTGCAGTGTGGGCAATTAATACGAGTTTATTTGTTGAATAATTTAATTTCTAGACGTACGATCTTAATGAAACTTTCTGAACGTAAACATAATGTTAAATAAGTAAGAAGACTCTAGTCGAGACTGCTCGACTAGGAGATACCCTGAATCCTCCAAGCTGATATTCTTATCATTCTGCACTTCTTTTATGCACGCACACATACATACACATGCATC